CCCGTCCTCACCCCCCGTGCCCCTCTAACCAACACACACATGCACACGTTCAATAAGCTAAAACAGAAGTGCATCTCCACATAAATGCCAGGGACGTGCAGCTTGTTTTGTCTTCAGAGGACGGCAATCTGTTGATGCTCCTCTCGTCTTTGATAAAGAGTGTGTGTCATCCAGGCCCAGCGGTGTGTGTGTGTGTGTGTATCTGTGTGTGTGTGTGTGTATCAGTGTGTGTGTGTGTGTGGAAATAAAATGACTGTTTTTTTTGTTGTAGCCTTCACTATGTGCACTGCAGAAATCATTTCTTGGCAGATTTAACAATTCTTTTGGACTTTTATTCTGACCTTTAGCTGGACATGTGCAGATGTTTGTCATTTGTTTTCAATGAAACCATTTTTCCAAATGAAGCATCTTTGAAATGTTCTATTTCCTCTGTGTCAACCTGGTAATAAATGACCATCATATTACTGTGTGTTAGTTCTTCAGAGTTCACTCCTCCTCCTCCTCCTCCTCTGTGACACTCAGTCCAGTTCACTGTAGTCTCCTCTTCTAGTCTTTTCATTGATAACTCCAGTTCAGTCTTTGCCTCGTGACAAACTTCCACCTCTGTCAGTGTCTGGTCCTCACCAGGCTGATCTGCCTGTGTAGCCTGCTTCACTTCCCCTCACCCTGGCACCACCCTCTTCTTCACCTCTCATGTCTACTGACCACCGCTCTGGACGGTGGACCTGAGGTACTTGAACTCATCGTCCTTCAGTCTTCCTGCTTATTGCGTCTTCACCTCTTCACCCACCTCTCTCTCCTCACGCAGCACACCTCTGACGGACAGATGCTAATAAGGACACAGTCGGCCCTTGAGCTGAAAGGAAAGGGAACATTTGGAGCCACCTCCAGCCTCCACAAATAAAACCCTGTGAAAGGAGGAAAGTGTTGAAAAAGCCCGAGTGCAGCTGTGACCTGAACCTGACACGAGCTCAGAGACACATGGTTGGATGTGGCTGCAGTTATTTATTCTCTCTAATCTGACGCTTCCCTCGGACCATTTCAAACAGCTTAACTGTGGAATTTCCAGGGTAAAGGGTTCGATTCCCACCGGGCCCAGCCATGCAAAAGCACAACGTAATGTAGCTCACATAAAAGCACTTTGTCACATTTGTCACTTCACAGCTACAAGACTTTCAACGGTGCCATTCCTGGGAATAAAATAAACATTTATGCCCTCATATATATATATCAGAAATGAATATAAATATTTTGATTTTGCCTCATTCCACTCGGCAATATTGCTTTTCTGCGTTTGCTCGCTCACTGGCTCATAAATTTCCATCTCACTCTTCCCTCCTCTGTGTGCGGGTTTCCCACGGGAGGTGCCAGACGGCCAGTAATTTGGTTGTCTTGGCTCGTCTGGAGTAACACCTGCCCCCTCTCTGGGGACGAGACGGAGCCTTTTAGCCAGGAGCACACATGTAGGCTACCACTGCCTTTAGCTGCTGACCACTGTACGTGTGTGTGTGTGTGTGTGTGTGTGTGAGATCAGAGTGAGGTGTTTCTATCTGCATGGATTTGCACTCATTTCATCGTGTGCATCATCACGCTAAACTGGCTCTGCAGATGTCTCACCTTATACTGTACTGTGATTGGCTGTGTGTGTGTGTGGGGGGGAGCGGGGGGGCTTCAGTAAGCTGCAGAGACCATTATGATGAGATGATAATAACAGCTTTGACTCTGAATGTTGAGAGGCTCTGAGGTTCAAACTTCAGACAGTTGTTGGACGGTTCTTTGATTCATACTTTTTTTAAAGACATGCAGAATTCTTTGAGACAGGTCTTTGGAGCCAGAATCTCACATCCTTATGGCCCACTTTGTAAAGTCGTTCTGGTCCAACCGTGGGCCACTTGTTTGCTTTCATCTGGTCGACATCCAGCTCTGAAACACTGGCCTCTGATTGGCTACATCAAGTGGGCTTTTGGACCTGACCTGGTTTGTCCAGTCTGTATTTGGTTGAACAACGTCCACATGTCCACAGTGTTCAATTAGAGTCCTAGTCCTCAGAGTCTCTGGGTCGGCTACGTGGTCCACATTATGGACACCTTGACATCTTTAAAGGCCTGCACTTAATTGCTGTATTTGGACACATGGTATCATGTTGATTTACTGTAGCTAGAGATGAGGCCCCCTACTGGTATGCAGGGCACGGGCCACAGTTTTGATACAAAGACTGGAGGTGGCCATAAAAGTCACCACTCCATTCTGTCCAGAGCAGAACGACTGCACGTTGTTGAGGGAGTTTTCTCACCCTTACAATTTTTTTCTCAACCCTACAATAAATGGCAGAAAACACAGAAGGAACTGGTGAAGAACTGAGTCCAGGTTCAGTGGACGTGTGGACAAAGACAGTGGCTCTTCAGGGGGTCCTCGACTTACCTGGGGGGTTCGCAGTCCCGCATAAGACTGGACTATAAAAAGTTCAACTTCAGAGGAGGAGACCAGACTCCACAGATCATCTGAAATACCACAGAGATGTTAACTGTGTTTGGAAAAGACACGGAGAGACAGAAAGTCCAAAGAACACAGTCTCCCCACGGTAAAGATGGGGGTGGGGTGGGGGGTTTGTGTGCAAAACAGGAAGGAATTATGAAGCAAAAAGATCAATCCAGAACAGGGAGCAGCAGAATATTTGGTTTTTGACCTAAAGTGAACCTGGAGAAGAACTACGGACTAAAACTGAGTTTTTGGCAGATGAAATTTGTCTTAAATTTCATCAAAAACCTATAAAAATGACTAAAATGTTTTTCTTCATGAAGGTTTTCAGTTTATTTTCTCCCTCCCAAGTAAAATAAAAAATATATTTATATATATATATAGAGAGAGAGACAGAGCATTTTTCTCAAGTATTTCAGTTTTAATGAAAAATAACAGCAGAAAATATGAAAAGTTTAGTCCTTTATAAACCAGCAGTCACATGAAGATACCTCTACTACAAAAAGATCTGCGTAAAGCAACAAGTAGCCTACAGAACCCTGAAGAGACAAAAAGATCTTTGGATAGAGGATATGTTTCTTTTTCTTATCCTTCTGCACTAGAAAAAAACTGCCAAAAAAATAAAAATAAAAATACAGAGCAGAGACCAATAAATAAATAAATAAATAAATAAACATTTGTAAAAACAACACAGAAGATCATAAATAATGGTTCTTTTTTGGTCACAGCAAGGAAACAGGAGGTTAAAGTCTGGGTTTGTCTCTTTTGTTAAAGATTTCAAAATCAAATGTGTTGTTTTGTTTTCCCCACTGTGGACCAAATGTTTTCCCAGATTAACCTCTGTTAACACAAGAAAATCACCAAAAAAAAAAACAAAAAACTGGACTGACATGAACATTTCTGAAGCAGAGCAGCCTCGACTCTGAAGTGCTTATCGTTCGACAAACAGTTTCAATAAAAAACAGACAGAAAACAAATCTCTATGGAATCAACAGAAAGTGCCTTTTTTCACTTTTTTTTTTGTCAACAACACCGTCACTGTCCAAGTTTCACAGTCTAAAATATAGAAACAACAAACCATTTACATTTATACAACGGAAACAGACCACTGCGGCCTGTGGCTTCAAATAAATCAACGACATGGAGAAATATCAACACAATTCCATAAATAACTCCATCAAATACACTTAGAAATGATTAAGGTCACAATTTTTCATCAGTCATAAGTGGCACTTTATCCCCTCTTCTTCTTCTTCTTCTTCTTCTTCTTGGTCGGCGTCTAAACTAAATCTAAAGCAGCTAGTTCATGTCCTTTACATCCGTCCACTCCCTGGTGAATAGAATCAACAGTTTCTGTCTTTCTCCTCCGGTCAGACTGATGTTGATTAAAGACGTCTGTGTCCAAACCAGGACCATGTCCTCAGGTCTGTGTCAAAGAGGGAAATGTCTTTTTTTTTAATCTTCAGGTTATTGCATACAGGAAGTGAGAGATGAGGCACCGCCATCCCATAATAACAATAAGTCTGAATGGAATCATTATGAGAGAAAGAGTGGAACAGAGTCAGTGAGATGTTCAAAATGTAACCATGACCCCAAAGACCTGCACCTTTGACCTCTGATGTAATGTCTAATTATAGATGAATATGTTAATGAGGCTGAAACACCCTCAGATTAGCCTGGTTATTATGATTATTATTATAATTTTTATGTAAAACGTGTTCATAGGTGAAAGTGAATAAAAAACTTCATCGCCGAGGTTTAAAGTTTAACGTTTGAGAATTTTATTTTCCAAATTTTAGCTACAAAAAAATAATGTTTCTGATAAAGGTGCACAAACTGAGTCCAGGTGAAACTTTGACGTCTTTTGGTTTTGTTTTTCTGATTTGATAGATTGGGATTTTACCTCTTCAGTGTGATCCCTGCAAAGAATTCTTCATTAACAGTGTGCAAAAATGGAAGTGCAGTTCCCAGTTCAGTTCAGGGTTTGTTTTTTTTCAATTTTCAAAAAGTGAATGTTTATTGTAAATAATAAATACGCATGTAGGTAAAACCAAAAGTGTGCAAATAAATAAATACGATAAAAATGTGAATAAATAAATAAATAAATTCTAATAATATGTATATTTTCTCTGATATGTGGTTATACAGACGAGCTGTTTCAGGGACGTATTAAATGGAACCAAATTCTAAAATAAACATTTGGATGATTTACCAAAAACAGTTTTGTTCGGCCGTTTCTAAAGATGTTGTAAAAACCTTCAGTTCTTTTTCTCGTTTTATTAATGAATTGAATGGTTTGGAAATTGTGTCTCAAGGTTTTCTATTTCTGTGTTGAAAAATAAATTCTCTGTTTGAAGGAGAGATTTCTGATTAAAATAAATGAGAAATTTGTCTCTGTCATGACAGTGTTCTGGTGTCATATCAGTGAAATAAAGAACGAGAGACAGATTTACCTGATTCTCAAGTCAAAAACACTGTTTTAGATCTGTTTGATTTTCTATGAACTGGTTTAAAATCAGCATTTCAGTCCAGTTTGGTTGAAAACTGTGAACTTCGTGGATTTGGTCGGGTTCAAGGGAATTCAAAGAACGAAAATGATGTCGGAAAACTTTTTACAGTTTTATGATTTAAGCTCCGTTTCAAAAGAGTTCTGTGATAAAAAAACAACACATTTTTAGAATAACTAATTTAGAGATGAAAACACTTCTACGGTGGAACTCTGTTTCAGTCACGTCTTTTTTATGGATGTTAATAATTTCGATGTACATTTTGGAAGGTGTTTTTTTTCCCCCTAAGTTAAAAAAATAGACATAATTATTTTGAAGGGTTTACGACCTCAGTGATGGACTTGTCTCTGCAGATAAAGAACGGAGTTCAGATGGTTAACTGACCCAACACCTGCTCCGGCTGTGCCTTTCAGTCAAGTCCCGTCCGGACCGGTCCAGACCGGCTCCACCTTCTCCGTGGCTCTGGTTCAGAGTTTGTGGGAGTCCCAGCTCCGGGTCCTTCAGACGTCCAGGACATGATTGAGATAGGAGATGTAGCAGATGGCCAGTCTGAGGATCTCGATCTTGGAGAGCTTCTTGTCGGGCGGCAGAGTTGGCAGCAGCTTCCGGAGCTCAGCGAAGGCCACGTTGAAGGCCTCCACGCGGATGCGCTCCCTGGTGGCGTGTGCGGAGCGGTACTTGGCGGTGGCGCGGCGCCTCCTCCGCTTCTCCTCCCGGCTGAGCGGCGGGTCCGCCTTACACTTGACGCCGCGGTCCTCACCCTCCGCGGGCTCGTCGGAGACGCAGCCCGCTGCCGCCTTAAGCCCGCTCAGCATGCTCTCGGGGTCGGCCTGGGTCCAGGAGAGGTCGGCCTCAGCCTGGTCCGGACTCAGCATCATCTTTAAGCTGTTGACCTTCACCTTCTCTCTTCCACAGGAACCTGTTGGAAACAACAATCAGTCACCGTCGCTTCAAGAAGCCGTCCAGGAGTCAGATAAGAACCTAACAGCGGGTCGCAGACCCCCAACGAAAATCCAAAATCCATGATTGCGTAATAACATTAAATCCTATGAATAATGAATCAACTCTTTTCCTGCTGTTTGAAAGGCCTGAGTGCTGCGAACGGAAAGTTTCAGAAACACTTATTTAACATCAAGTTCATTTACCAATAATTAAAAAAAAACAAAAAACAATTTTAGAGTTTGTTTGTTTTTAAAGAGAAACAGTCTTTTGTCTTTTGTGTAGATGTTGTTTTTGCATTAACATAATCAGAATGTGCCATCTGTCAGTGTGTGATGAACACATCTGCTGAGGCTGAGGCTGAGGCTGAGGCTGAGGCTGAGGCCGCTCTGCTGCACTGACAGCATGGAGCCACAGGAGTGAACAAAACCATGTTGACATCTGCTGGACATGAATAATCCAGAGCTGATGATGACGACCATTAAAAAAAAAAAATAGGAGGTTTGATTAAACCAGGTAACTGACGTGGAGATAAGGTTAAATTAAAATCTACACAGGAGGAGAAAATATAAAACATTATATGAAATTGTATAAATTAAATAATAAAATAATAAACAAATGTAATAATTAAAATATAATCAGATAAAATCAGATATAAGAAAAAATAGAAAAAGTAGATAAAATATAAATAGATAAGTATTTAAATATGAAATTGGATTTTAATAACATTAGAAGATGATGTTACATGAGATTTAAATAATCTTAGATGATAAAAATATGACGTGGCATTAAGTGCAATGAGATGAAAAGATAAAATGACAAATGACATCAGACCAAAATGAGACTGAGAAAAATATTTTTGGTACTTGATTGATTAGATAAAAAATACTGGATGATATTTATATAATACTGAATAGAAGATTTTAGAGCAGTTAAAATAAAATATTTTTTTATCAGGGTTAAAGAACTGCTGTGAGTTTAGATCAGATGGATAAATAAAGTTAATTTTATAAAGATATAAGGTAACAGGACAGAAATACTTAAAGAAACATTAACATTGGTGTTTGTTAAATGCAGTCATTTTTACCGACACTCACCCTGAACGAGGTAGATGGGAACAAGGAAAAAATAATCTTCGTTAAAAAACCCCAAAACTTGCTCTGTGCGCTTCTGAGCGATGCCTTGAACTTCAGATTAACTCATATTCCACAGCAGAGTCTCACGCTGACAGATGGAACCAAGCTCCAGAATGTTGAAGGAAGAGATTAAAAAGAGCAGTAGCTCGACTTTGTTCTCTTCTGGAACCTGGGATTAATCTTCAGGGTCAAACGGAGTCGCTCTAAAGTGTCAGTGCTGAGGTGTTTGCTGATGAGAGGATTAAAAATCAGAACGATGCTGACGCTGATGAAATCAGTCAGCCTTCTGTGTCGATCCCAGACAATAGAAGGAGGACGGACAGAGAGTGGTGAAAGTGCGGCTACTCGTCCATCCGTCCAAGCATGATGGAGGTAAACAGAGAGGAGGAGGAGGAGGAGGGATGATGAAGGGTGTGAGGATGGAGATCACTTCTCTGATAATAATTCCCTCACTTCGCCTCTCCTTCTTCTTCTTCCTCAGGTGCCTCCACTCTTTCGCCTTTCGACCCACACAGTGTCATAAATGCCAGAGATAAAATCCAGACCAAGATCTGGACTAAATAAAGGCTTCACCTCCTGTGGAACAGAGGGATATATGTGGAGAGGAAGAGGAGGAGGAGGAGGAGGAGGAGGAGGAGGAGGAACTGTATTGTCTAACACCGCCCTCTCTCTCTCTCTCTCTCTCACTCACTCACACACACACACACACTGCTCCCTCTGCCCTCAGGCGCCCCCTCTCATCCCCCACACCCACAGACCTCCCATGGGACCAGAGTGGGCAAAGGCAAAACAAGAGATGTGTCCATGATAAAAGATGGACAAAAAAGATAAATGAGAACTCCAAAATAAATGGAATTTAAAAAATAAAAAAAATAAAATGTTAAATGTAATGAATGTTTGAAGTTGATTGTTATTGTGACTCACCGTGGTTAAGAAAAGGAAAAGATAAAATGTGTTGTTGTTGATATGAGAATGACCGTTGACAGATGAGGAATATGAGTTGAAATTTACAGTTAGTAGTAATTAATTCAAACTATGACATAGTAATAATTAATATATTTATATTTACTAATATTAATAGAGAAAATGTGGGACGATACAACATTAAGAAAAGTTCATGTTAAATTACTGCTAAATCAGATAAGAAGGACAGAGAGGACAGAGAGGACAGAGAGGACAGAGAGGACAGAGAGGACAGAGAGGACAGAGTATATCATTCTATCAGAAAAGATGATTAAGGATGAAATTATAAAGACAGATAAAGAGAATAAAGAGATAAAGAGAGAAAGAAAATTGGCAGGTCGTCATTGGACGAGTAAAAAATCTGAAGAAATGAGTTAAAACAAAATACAATATGAAGATGAGACAATAGACCTGAGATGACAGAAGAAAAGGATGCTGGGAAATGTCAACATTCAAATAAACTGGAATAATAATATTAAAAACAAAGATAAGACAAATGGAGCTAAGATAAAATTATATTAGATAAAAGAGAGGGGTGAGCAGAGGAGTCCTTATTTCACTGTTCTGACCAGCAGGTGGCACTGTACGTTCCGGTGTCGTTCTTATCACGCTGTAAAAACATGTTGACATAATGTTGTCTGACC